GTGCGTGCGTGCGTGCGTGCGTGCGTGCGTGCGTGCGTGCGTGCGTGCGTGAGTGCGTGTGTGTGTGTGTGTCTGTGTGTATTACGCGATTATTCTGACATCTGTGAATCGATTTCGATGACTCTTTTCTTCTCGTATCATCTCATCTCGTACAAATTTGAAGAAAATATTCCACTGCTGAGGATAGCAAATTAGGGGATGTGTATAATGTGGGTATTTTTTTTACAAATTAGTTACAATTATCGTTAACGCGATTCGAGGTTCGATTTCAATTTGCAGTTACAAAACTATGCGAGAACTGTTTTGTGTAGTATTTTACGAAAAGTCCTCTTTTCCGACCGACTTCAAAAAAGGAAGCATATATATTACGCGATTACTCCGCCATTTGATGATTCTTTTTTTTTATTGGAAAGAAGGTACTTCAGTATCGGTCCCATTGAAATGTAAAGAAAATCTTCCACCTCTAAAGCTAGCAAACTAGGGGATGAATCCGATTTTGCGTACTTTCCCGTAACCGATTCACACAAAACTTGACAAATAGATGTAATACCAATAAAAACCGAAAAGGAAACTTTTGAGGTTGGTGTTGTTTTTAATATGTCCAACGATTAACGAAAGGCTACTTAAAAATAAGTTTAATTTCAAAAGGCCTTACACAATAGCATACACGACGATAATTTATCAATAAAGAATCTACCGCACGACTCTTTAAGATGACCAAAAAAGAACATCAAGTAACTGATGGAAGTAGCAAATGGAATACTAGCACAATAAATCACTGTTACACCAAACTCTATCAAGTACCGCTATCAATACGGCTATCGATCGCGCAGTGGAACATTAAGGGATTAATTCCGAAAACAAATGAGCTGTTATTAATTTTAAATGATTAATTTTGTTCCCCGTACAAAATGAGGCGGATTATCAGCTTTGATGGGAGATTAAGACAGATAGACGTAGATTAATGTACACGTAGTTTTAAAAAGCGAAACTCTTTGTAAATAAATACTTAATTAGGTACCTACCTTGTAAAATAAGTAGTTTATTGTTACACTATGCAACAAATTCTCAAATAGTTTCTGATAGTAGTGGTTTCCATTTCAAAACAAAACAAGAATAGCGCTATACCCCTGGAACTTTGAATTAATGAATGAAATACTCTTTATTGGATTAAAATTACGGTGACATCATAGAATGTGCAATACGCGGCCTTATTGCTATGTAGCAATTTCTTCCAGGCAACCTTAGAATAAACATTTGGGATATGTAAAAGTGATGCACCAAAGAATATTTTAAAATATACACTACATAAAAACAACTAATAACATTTATATGTAGATAGAATTTAATACATAACAATAAAAAATATTAAATACATAGAGATAAATAAAAGGACAGTGGAACAAAGACGAAACTTAGGAATTGAGGAAGTGATCCTTGACACGTTGTTTGAAGGAATTAAGAGAAGGGGATTGTCGAATAGACTCTGGGAGAAAATTCAACAGTATGATCGCACACACATTGGAACTTTGCTTCTGAGGCTGTCACAATAGCTACATAGTGGTATGCTAATCTCGCAAATCAATGTTTTTTAGAATTTATCGAATTTTTGTTGAAATATACCATTGATTTGAAATATAATGATTGTCTATGCGAGTGTCCATGACACCCACGACACAGGGATTCGCTAGTTCGGGGCTATGAGTGTGTGCGTTATTTATTTTATTATACATCCCACTGTTAAGCACGGATCTCCTCTAAGGAGAAAGGTTAGGTCATAGTCCGCCACGCTTACCCAATACGGGTCTGGGAACTTCCCACGTTTCCAAAAGGTGAGCTTTACAGCATTCCGGTTTTGAAGGGCAAGGGTGTTGGTGAAATAACAGGCATATTGGACTTTTACAAATTAATTACGTCACTTCTCGGCCTAACGTTCCTAACCATTTTATTGTTTTACTATTATTTTGTTATATTTAAGATGTCATTATTTTATCAAATTTAAATTATCTTGCTGTCCAGCAAGTTTGGGTTGATGTGGAAATCCACAAGAGTTTTATAATAAATAAATAAATAAATAACATGGAATTTTGACATAACTATTATCTATATATTTTCTCGTTTTTACTTCACGTCCACTGCGGCTACCCAATTAAATTAGTGTAGAATAAATGTACACTTGAAAATTGTCATTTTTAAGATTCTGCTCGTTCACTGTGCTGACATCTCTGAGAAGTATGTGCAAGAAACTCTAGGGGTTGCTCTTTTCAAATACTCTTCGTTCGCCCAGGGAACTACTGCCACCTTACCTATTTCTACCGCCAATAATGTGAGCATTACTGTATTGCGGCTTTGAAGGGTTAAGGGTACTAGTGAAATTACAGGCACATGGGACTTGTCAACTTATGTCTCAGGGTGACGGGCTCCCAGTGCCTCTCAGATCTTTGCGATTCAAAGCTCTGAGTGGCACTGCAACTGTTAAGAACAGGAGTGGAGCTTGCCACGAGCCACACGACTTGATCGTCCCGTCACTTGGTATTATAAAATAAAAAACATTGACAAGTGCAAGTAACTTAGAAATTAAAGTTAGCATAAGTACGTGCCACCACAGGGACTTAAATTGAGACGCAAACCACTGGGCTATCACCGCTGCAAATTTTTTACCAACGAAGTATAACGCGTTTATCTGTTACCTTTGAGTCAAGCCTAAAGTGGTCTGTGCTTAAAAGAGTCACATTTAATTGTATTATAATAATCTTAACTTTGTATAAAAAACCAACCTGCAAAGTTTGTGGAATCACATATATTTGCCGAGTTTTATGAAATCGGTTAGAAGAAAAATGACTGAATTCTAATAAACCGGATTCATCCCCTAATTTGCCACCGTTAGATGTGGAATATTATCTTCAAATATTAATTGGACCACAACTGAGATAACTCCTTTCCAACAAAAAAAGAATCAAAATCGGTTCGCAAACGCCGAAGTAATCACGTAACATGTAATCAAACAAAATTACAGTCGAATTGAAAAACTCCTCCTTTTTTTGAAGTCGTAAAAAAGGGTACTATTACAGTCTTAATAACAGCTAATTAAAGATAATGTTACAAAATAAACAACGGAATATATTAACTTGGTAACACAGAACCATTGAAGCGAAAACGTGGTAAGCATTTTGAAATATACTAATGGCCCCAAATGTCTTACGCAATATCGCCCCTGAATCCCTACTACAATTTATTGGGACTGTGGAACTTAGTGGAGAACTGCACATAGTGGCTATTATATTATGGCTTACATGACGTATCGATACAGTGTACCTGGTGGAAACGTAAAACTTTTAAACCTGGATTCATACTCGGAAACGTTTCGGTCATTCTGAGACTAGTGTTCACTATCTAATTTCCGTGGCAATTTTTATTTTTTTAAATATTCAAGTATATTATCGTTTAATTATTAAATAATATTTCACGATACAATACTCGAACAACAAATAATATTACACGACAAAAGTTATTTTCTTCTAAGTTATGTTCTTAGCCAACGGAGAGAAGCGTCTCTCTGTGTGTGTTCTACCTTACTTTATAATGGAGAATGGTCTGAGGAAATTTTCGAACTGGTGCCACTGTCTCGTTTCTACCATCGCACCTCCCGCCAACTTACATACCTACAATCGAAAATCTTTAGCCTCTTTTTGGGGTAGCAAACATTCCAAATTCTTGCGATAAAAAGAAACATTCTTTTAGATAACGTCATTTGATTGTATCTAACTATTACGTAAGTTTTTTGTTCCACATCTTATCACCGATGCTTTGTCTCGTCTAACTCTTCAGTCATATTACAATGCTTATTCATGACATTAATTATGTCCAACGCTAACCGCACAATAAGTACACAGGGGAGGGTACAGTGACCAATGGTTAACAAAAACTGTACAATGCATTGTCGGAAGTTATGACTGTACTAAAGATTACAAGTGATAACTTTGTTGGAGACTCATGCTTTTAGATTCTCACTGGGATAGGTGGAAAGAAAATATCAACCGCCTCAGGTTGTTTGATTACAGATATACTGCTGTATAGTCTTTTTTTTAAGATACCTAGAGACGGGTTCAACAAGTCGTGCGCCTGATGGTAAGCGGCACACGTGTCCATAACAGTTGCAACGTCACTCAGAGTTTTAAATCACAAAGATCTGGGGGGCATTGCTACTGCGCCCGTCACCCAGAAACAAAGCACCCATGCTGTTAAAAACAGGCACGCAAACAGAAATCGGTACATAGCTGTACTTCTCTGGGCGAACTCCTTCACATGAAGTTCTACTGCTATCAGTAGGCCATATTATATTTATAGTTCCCGATAGTCTAAGCGTCATTGTTTTGAGGTCCAAAATTAACCTGTCGCTCTTTTAAGACTAAAAAAGTAATTGATCTCATACCTAGGTGGTGGAGGTGGCGGCTCCCGTGACCTCCTCGGCATCAACCTTGGGCTGTTTGGAGTACTGGCGGAATGACCAGCCGCATGGTCAGTGAACCTCGACAGCGGGTCGAAGATCTGCGACAGTCGCCGCGACCGCTCTTCCCCCGACATTATCACAAACACAACACAAAATAACAACTATCACATCACGACATAACACTGTCACAGTTAATTCACAAATGACTATTTCGAACGGCTCGAATGATTCAAATTCAAGCGGAAGTTAGCACCGGCCGGTAAAAGATGGCGCGCGCGAAGCGGGATTTGGCGCGAAATCACCGCGGCCATCTTGGATCTTCTAATGTTTTCTCGCTGTATTTAGAGCTGAAAAAGAAAATGAGACCATTAGTGCGCGGCGACAATGACGTGTTGAGTTTGGAAACGTAAGGTTAGGCATTTGTTTTGAACGGAAATGGAAATTGGAATGGTATCAAAATACACGTACGATATTTTTTTTACAATAATGCACTTATACAGTTACATACATACTATTACGTTATCGCGCTAGTCTCCCAATTAGCAGACAGAGATAGATATAGTCTTTCCTGTTCACATTAGTGTAGTAAATTAATGAATGACCGTTCAGCTGTCCTAATAGACAAGTTATATACAGGACAATGTATATTATTTAAGAAACTTCTATTTCGTAATTTGTATACCAAACAATCTATAGTATACACTCGTACTAAGAGGAAACACGATTACGTGAAGCGTGGAGGATTTCTTATTTTTCTGTTTTAACCGACTTTAAAGAAAGGAGGAGGTCCTTGATTCGACTGTATTTTTAATTGTTCGTGAACCGATTTCGACGATTCTTTTTTAATTAAAAAGGGGATACATCAATACTGGTCTTATTTAATTTTGAAGAAAATATTCAACCTTCAAAGGTGGCAAATTAGGGGATGAATATGGTTTATTAGATTTCACCCACTTTCCATTAACCAACTTCAATAAAACTTGGCAAATAGGTGTGTGAAATTTCACAGACTTTTGAGGTCACACGACACAGTTCTGCACATTTGCGTACGTAAATTACACAATCAAATATTTTTGTTATAAGTAGATTACTTGGTGACCTTTGACATCAGGTCATTCAATCAAATTTGGACTTCGTCATGACCTGTAGAATTGCATTTTTTAAGCTAGTTTCAAACTTAATTCTAGAATAATTCCGTTCGGAAATTCATTTTAAGTGGATGTCAAAAAAGCCTCGCTTCCTCCGCTTGCTACGCTTCGATAAGATTTTAAATCTCGTAAACTGATTCACGACTCGAAGACCAATTTGTTTCTCTACGCAATAAAATGTTATTTAAATCTTTACAAATTTAACGTTGCCTATAAAACTATTTTCGTTCAACATTAACAACAGTTCGCGTATAAAACCACAATTAACTTAAAATACATTTATTTTGACAGTGTGGACATCCACTGTTTTTATTGCTTCAGTCCGTTGAAGTTAAATCACTTGGAAAGGGAAACATCTGCTTAAAAATATATTCTTCTGCTCAAATCGGCAGAGCTTCCAGAGCCAAATAACTAATAAAAAGAAATATTTTAAACTGAAACTTGTTTCTTGTAATTTTTTCAGATTGTAACCGGCTTTTTTTTTGTACGTATCATATATGTATCGTATTTTTTTTGTTAGTGTGTTACGCGATAACTCCGGTAAAATTTGTGAACCAATTTTGATGATATTTTTGTTTTCAAAGAGGGTACCTCAGTAGTTGTCCCGGTGTGTGAGTGACAAATAAGATTTCACCGATTTTCCGTAAACTTTTTCAAAAGGCTAAATAATGTTTCAGATGTTCCTATTCTATCAGGCCATGACATTTAACACTTGACGCAACTCAATGATTCTAACTTAAAATAATAACGCATAGAAACCTTGTCCGCACACGCTAAGTGAGGCAAATTGAAGCGCTCCCAATGGGCCTACACGAGCGGGCGGGCCATCAGTGCTCAAGTTCAACTTGCACCGCGAACAGCTCAAGAATTTTAGCTAAAAATTACGAAATGTGCGGTAAATGAGTGTAAAAATACGTCAGACAAACATAAAATAGATACTAACATTACATTCCACAAGGAAGAACGCGTTTCAACTTGTATTTTTATATAAATATTCACTAAAACCGAAAGTTAATTTCGTTGCAACAAGACACGAAAATGTTGCAAAGTAACGGATTTCTTTCTCCCAATTTCGCTATTCTGTTTCAATTTCGATTTAGAAATGAGTGCCATATTTGTAATGAGCACCCCCAAATACCTCGAAAATGATACCCATATTGCATTTATTTGAAAACTCGTGTCCACCATCTTGGATTAAGAAATAAATGCTATATTCATAATGAACACCCCCAAATACCTTGAAAACGATACCCAACTTGCCATTACTCGAAAAATCGTACCCGCCATCTTGGATTTAGAAATGAGTGCCATATTCGTAATGAGCACCTCGAATACCTCGAGAATAATTCCCATATTGCATTTATTTGGAAAGTCTTGTCCGTCATCGTGTATTCAGATATAAATGCCATTTCCATAAGGATTACCAAAATTAAATTTTTGAAAATTCTTGTCACTTGACATTGTCTATCGACAGTAACGATCGACAAAACCAAGAAAATCTGTAGGCACCTTTAACTTAATGATGAGTTAAGCAAGATACAATTTCCCCACTTTTGAGGGAAATGTTATTCCATGGCATCATTATTTGTATATTTGTGTTCGTGCCGACGAGTGTAGATACAAGTTGCTTACACCTACATGAATTTGATTTTTGCCTCACTTGTGACAGTTCGTTTGATATGAAACTATCATTCTATGCGTTATTATTCTAAGGCTTCTAACAATACAGTTCACAATTACTTCAATATAAAGACAAGAACATTCACAGCAACTACATGTTCCAAACAAAACATTATCAATAGTGATAATGTTTTGCTATAGTGTTGAATGTTGTCAAAGAGTATCAGGTACCGTAGTACCGTGGACGGACGTGACAGTCTATACATATAGGGAATGAGCTAGGCAGGGAGATAATATTGAGAGTTTACCAATGATATTTCGATCCATAGTTGCGGAACAAACGTAAAGCCCCTGGCAAGGTCGCTATTAGTTACACAATACCATTCATTTTTCTTTGTCCTAGGAGCCTTCCGCTTACTAATTATAATTATTATATTACTAAAAAGAAAAATAAATTAAGTAAAAAAAAATACAGTCGAGTTGTTGAAAATATATATGTATAAATATGTCGCCTCGAGTGCAACGGAACAAGATCCGTTAGTGTGTAAGTTGAAATGCTGGCGGCTGTACTTTACCTTGGTCTTTTTTTATATTTTTTAAATTTATATATGGTAGGTAACCTTAGTAAATGTTATAATCATATTGTACATACTCCGTTATTGCGTAGTCAGAACACTGTGGATTATTAATCTATGATTTATAATTTGTCTTAATTGTTCCTGTCTTTTTCGTTGCGTACGGACGCACAGTTTGGCATAATAATGAAAAGCGCGTGGGACGACCATCACTATGTAATGCGAATGCATTGCGAGATACGTTTGTATAAAGTTACCCTACTTGTCGTGTTATACTATGGTACAGGAGAAGTCATTTGTAAATATTGTGCGCAAGACTAACTTAAGTAGGACAGCCAAATAATATCTATAGTATGAATTTGGGGACCCGGACGAGCTCTGCATTGAAATTTTAAACAGTGTACAATATGCACGACTGACGACATAATATACAATAGCGATCAGCTCTCTGCACACGTGTGAATTCTAAAGGCGACGACAGCGAAGCAAGTTGTATACTATGGCCGATATTTGACTCGTTTTAAGAAGCATTATTCTCCCTGTTTTGTACTCGAAGCGACGACAAATAAAATCGTACACGCCATTATGTTATATTTAAATCTAATGTACAGTAGGTTCCGAAACCTAGAAAAACAAATTAATAATAATAATGCCAGACAACAAATACCTAGTCTCAAACTATGATATTACCTGTATTATGAGTATCCGAGCAACGAAGTCCTCACCGGGGCATTACTCAGAACATCCAGACCAAAAAAAATTTGTTATAAAAAAATAGCAAAAATTTTTTTTAACAAAACCGTTATAGACGTCGCGTGTCTCTGGGACGGGTTATTTTATTTTTATATAATATTAGTGACGGGACGAACAAGTCGTGCGCCTGAGGGTTAGCGACACGGCTGTCCGTAACAGTTGCAGTGCCACTAGAGCTTTAAATTGCAAAGATCTGAGGAACTTTGAGAACACTGCCATTGCACCCGTCATCCTGAGACATAAGTTGACAAGTCCCATGTGCCTGTAATTTCACCAGCACCCTTACCCTTCAAAATCGGAACACAGTATTGCTGACATTACTGCTTGGCGGCAGAAATAGATAAGGTGGCAGTACTACCCTGGACGAACTCTTTCACAAGGAGCTCCACTGCTACTAAACTCTTAAAAGCTATGTTAGTACTTCAAATTTTGAGGCAAACTTATTGTCTCACTTACCTATAGTATGATTAGATACGTATTGTTATTAGTTGTTGAATTTATTTAATTATTTTTTGTTTAACTTCACAAAAGTAATATTTTTAACTGACTTTGGTTATTTGTTAATACTTGCTTACCTATAAGTACATAGTTTTGCAATAAGTTAAAATTGTAAAAATCTTAAAGTACCTCAATAAAAAGAAAAATAATATTTGCTTATGCACCTTCCCGCAATTTAGTAACTGCCTACATGGCCGACCGGTTACCATACTGGACTGCCACGCAGAGGCCCCGGGCTCGATTCACGGGTCGGGAGAAATATTTGTATACCCTTTGTGATTGTCTACGTGTGTGTCCACGGCACCCGCCATACAGGGTTTCCCTAGGGCTATGAATGTGTGCATTATTACAAAAAATACTTAAAAAATTAAGGACCTGTCTAGCGCCCACATTATTAACCACCAAACCTCCGAAGTTGTCAAATATCGATGCCTTACTTACTCAAACTCGTATCTTAATAAGAGTTTGACCAAATTCTATCCGATAGGATAAATGATATCCTATTAAAATAAATGTTTATAATTGAAGTACTTTTATTCCACGCGGTTTATTTTTCCCAAAAATTACTTTAAGGGTGCGTTATATGACAGAATTCCTTCGCACGCTTGCCGCTAGGACGCCGTGCTACTCAAATTCTGTCTTGCAATTCACACGTTTCCACTGTGCAAAGTTTAACTAAAAAGAAAAATAGTTGTAACTGCATATTACTTGTACAAAAAGTGCAAGAACGAAGCAAAAACAGAC